ACTTTTGAACCAGAAATGTTCTAAAATATATATAACTCAGACTGGACAAGTCAGGCAACTATTCCTGTGAATTTTTGCCTGGAATGAAATGTCCAGACAATAAACTGGCTTTCTGATTTTCAGACATTTACAGAAAACCCTGTCTTCCTCTAAGAAGTTAAAACCTTTTGTAGTTATTTTCAAGGGAGAATCTGAGAGCACTTCATAAAACACACATAAACCTAGATCTTTGGAATTATATTTTTTTCTATTATTAAGTTTGTTCATTTTGAGGCAGCTGCATTTTGATGTCCAGATTAGTGCTGTTTTGATATACAGGTTGAATTAAGATTTCTTCATTGCATGTGTTAAAATCTAACAATTGGCTGGTCTCTCCAAATGATGGTGTTTTGCACAGAGCAAGTGTATGTACCTGTCATGTGACCACATTCATCTGAAGCTAAAGCAGCAGCGTAGGAAGAGGAGCTTGGAAGTCAGTGGCTGATGTAAAAATATTATCTTCTGGCTGGTTTCCAGCAGGGTGACTGATTGTGGTGGCTCTCACTTTCATTACCGCCAGAAAAATTGTTCAATATATTTTAAATGTACATCCAATCTGATAGACACGGAATGTGAATTTAGCCACTTTTTCTCTGAGCAGGATCGATATGTCTGCAGCTGACTGGTATTTCTGAAGTTGTATATTAATTTTTAATAAATCTTCAGAATTGGTTACTTCACCTTTTTTATTTTTTAGCTTTAGTTTACTTCAAGTTTGACACATATTTGTTTTCAAACCATTCATCAATGATGGTTCAGAAGTCAAACATAAGATGAGCTGTAAACTTGATTTATGATCAAACAGCTTTCCTTTAAAAGGCACTGACCTATCAATCCCCATTGTTTTTAAAGAGGAATATACCAATTTTGATTAAAATGATTCCTTGATTCTAAAGTGGTGGGGGTGGACAGTGGAGGGGGGAGGGGTGATGTGAGGGTGGTGAAAAACAAAGGAAAAAAAAGAAGTGAGAAGGAAAAAGAAAGAAAAAACCAAGAGGGAGGAAGGGAGAAGTGAATCCATGCATGAGTAGATAATAATATCCAGGAACTAAGATTCTTGCCAAGAGACTTGAGAATTCCCTCATGCAAGAATAGGAACCCGAGCACTCTGTTCCTCCTGTGTGACAGCCATGTTGATAAGCACTACCTGGTGGGAAGAGGATCTTCTCTTTATATTTTTAAACGTATTCAAAGGATTTTTGTTCTCTGCATACAGTACAGAACAGGAAGTACTTTCAAATCATGGATATTTTTGTAGGACACGAAAATTATTGCCTTCGTGTGTCTATTTAAAAAAAAGAGAATAAAAGTTATTTAATTTATTTAAGAGACCAGACATAGTTGTGAGTTTTATAAATTTTCTTGGGTTTTTGCTATTTAGAAAAATTTTTGTAAGAAAGGATTAAATTATGCTTTTGCTGTTCAATTTAGTAGATAATTTAATTGGCTCAATATATTTGTCTGAAAATAATATTGATTTTGAAGACTCTCACATGGCTTAGTTAAGACTCTCACATGGCCTAGTTAAGAAGTCATTCCTCATGATTTTAAGGATATGAAAAAGTTTATAGGAGATACATAGGTCTACTCCAGAGATTCTAAACTAAACAAAGATTGCAGTAACTCTGTGTTGTCCATTAATGTTGACTCTCCATAATGGAGAGGGTACACTTGAGAGGTGTAGAGGCAGCTAGAGAAATTCTCATCTCCTCCTCAGACCACTGGAATTAATATGCCAGAACAAATTTACATACATTTTCAGGCCAAGAAATGGATCAAATAACAGACACTAAAATGCCCTGTTTGACTGAGAAAAAGTTTCAGATCACCCTGGAAAATTTGATATTTAAGCACATATAGTTATTTAAATTCTTTTCCTTGCTTATATAACTCCTATTCACAGCAGTTCCCTACAGTCTAAAGCTCTGGAATGCAGAGTACCCAGGGATATTTTTCCTTTTCTAGACTGGTGAAGGAGTTAGCCCTGGAAAATGTGATTGCTTATAGAACAGACATACAAAAGTGTGAGATTGGTAGACATCTAAAGGAATACAATGCTGGGATACTTCCCCCAATTTAGAATTTTTACTTACATTTCTTACTAAATATAAAGTCTTATGGTTACAAACAATGGCAACTATTCCTTTAAAATAGGAATATGATGCAATTTATTTCTGTTGAATCTTTGTTTTACTAGGGAGGTTTTGATTAGGGAGGTTTTGTACTCCTGGGGGATGGGACAGAGTGCACTCTAAGTAAAATGGGAGGAATGGGTGAAATAGTAGAGAACAGAGATGCTCCTTCAGGAAGCCTTGAGAGTCTATTAAAGGCAAAAGCAGCATCTTGGTCTAGAAACGGAATAATCTCATGCAGCAGAGCAGAACCTGGGGCTGACTGAGTAGGAGAAAGCTTTGCATAAATGGTCCTGTCAGCCCAGGTGGACAATAAATTGAGCATGAGTTGGTAAATCCCAACTGCACAGCTCTTGGCAAGACTTTAGCCAGCATGTCCAGGAGGGTGATCCTTCCTCATCCTGGGGCCACACCTGGGACACTGAGAAATTTTCAGCTTCTTGCTGTTCAAAAAGACAGATGTACTGAACCAAGTCCAGTGCAGGGCCACTGGGTGGTTGGCAGCTGGAACACCCAAGATGGTGAAATCTGCACCCACAGAGATCTTCAAAATGTGACTGGAGGAGGTCCTGACAACCTCCTGTATTGGCCTTGCTTCCAACAGGAGGTTGGGTCACTCAGCTTCCAAAGGATCCTTCCACCTACATGCTCCTGTGATTCTGATGCATCAATTATGTGTCTAACTTATTGTTTTCAGTAGCATTTTATTTGTTTAATTATGTATTAAATCTCATAAATTAAACTGGACATTAATTTTATAACAACATCATACTTCTGTTGAAGAATAACTTATCTCCACATCCGGGGCCTTTTAATTTAAAAGTAGAAAGCTTCTTAGAGACCTGAGATACAGGATCATAAAAGTAATGTTGATCTTTGTTTAAAGTGAAAAAATGCTGGTTTTTAATCTACTTATTCATTGCATTCATATTAACTCCACAAGTTACTATATCTTTACTTACAATGAGGGAACTTTGCTCACAGTTTCAAAACAGATTTAGAAAAACAGTGACTCAGAAGACATTATCTGATGAATAATAATTGAGTTGAAAATGACAGAAATGCAAAATTAAATTTAAATTCATAGTGGATGTTTAAAAAATGGCAATGTGCTGACGAATTATGAGCTTTTACAGAGAAGTTAAGAAATGGGAATGACTAATTTTACAGTTTAAGAAGAAAATATATTTTGAATCCTTTTCCCTTCCACCCACTTTAGCCTTTAAGGAAAAAAAAAATAGAGAGAAAAACAGATAAAAAGAATTAGCATTGGTGTAAAGAAAAGTAGCAAGCCAGAGATGATGCCAAAAACCTTTCAGCTCTCTCCAAATCCTGTAGTGCAGAATGATTTCCCATGGAGACTAGGAGCTGTAAGAAGAATGAGCTGAGAGAAGGTTTTTGGACCAAGTACACGTGTTTTACCACTCCCCTGAATTTTGATTCATTGCTAGGTCTGATGGGTTAATACCTCTGATACCAACTGAGTGGGTTTATACTTTTATCATATAAAGGATAATGTCCATAAAGCAGAAACACAAGTTGATAATGGTTCCATTCTCTAATTGTTGCAAAGTTGAAATTAATGCTGTACCTTTTAAAGAACGTTGATAATTTACTAAAAGACCAGAGGAAACATAATGAAGAGAATGCAAATAAACTTCTCCTGCTATTCCACTGACAGGAGACAAGTGTGTTTAGTAGATTAAGCCCATACACATATGGGTATGTGTGTGTGTCAGTAAGAAAAGGAGCATTGATTTTGACAAGTTGAAGGGAACAAATATTCTAGAGCTATATCAAAATGTCAAATGTATTTTAAATCTGCGACAGCCCATAATCTGTGTTAAAAACTGAAGTATGAATTGATGTTGAAAAGCAGAATATCAAAATGTTGCAGGTGACTAGAAAAGTTGAAAACTTCCCATGAATGTTTACTACCAGAGTTAAAGGGAAAAAATTATTCTTTTTGTTTCATATAGCATGCATTCATCTCTCAGACACAGTAAAAAGTACACTTGCTAACAACAACAAAAGTAGTAATAATCAATGTCACTTCTATGAATCAAGTAAGCAGATGTTATATTTAGTAGAATAGGATGATTTATATACATGCATGGTTTGAACACATTTCAACTACCTTCAGAAGGTTTTTTACCACTACAAAACTCATTCTATTCCATTATTGCATAAAGTCTACTAATATTATTTCAGGGTAGACTAAAAGGTAAAAGAGAAGCCATTGTATTAGGAATCTTGACATTATTTCACTGTATGCATTCCTTGGATTTTGAAAACTTATCTAGTACTCCACTTTATGAAGTTTCAGTGTTGGGAATAACTTTCAAATAAAATTGTCATCAAATATTCTAAATTGTTTTACAGTAATTTATGTTATTTATCTTTTAATGACTATACCTTATAGAAAAGCAATTGAATATCACAGCAAACTGAAATTCTGCATAATATTTACCGAAAGAGAAACTTGCAATGTCGGTGCATTTTTGGTTTGGGGTTTTGTTGGTTGGTTGGTTTGGAGTTTTTTGTTGGTTTTGTTTTATTGCTTGGTTGCTTTTTTGGTGTGTTTTTTTTTTTTTTGTTTCTTTGTTTGTTTTTGTGGGGGTTCAAAGAAATTACTTTCTTAATACGAGGACCTTTAATTTTGGTGCTATATTTACTGTCTAAGCAAAAACATTTACAGTTACTGAAGGCATGAACATTATTAAAACAAAAGAAAACCAAAGCCTTTTTGAAATAATAGGTATAAAACCAAGTCTTAGTCTACCCAATAATAATCAGAGCACTACATTTGTGAATTTCTTTCTTTTCTAGCCCCACTAACAGATAAACCACCAAAGCTTTTACATCCCTTGGAGAGTAAGCTAACAATTCAGGAGACCCAGTTAGGTAAGTAGCAAACATAACCTCTGTTCAAATTGTATGAAGGAATTTGATGAGTTAATGGGAATGTGATGGCATGCTGACATCAATAATTTAATTAAAAGACATTAGACATATGTTGATTCCATGCAGGGATGTATGCTATATCATTGACAAGATTGTTGACAAAAAAATTCTTAATAATTAATACTGAATGCTAAGCTTTTGGTTACTGATACTAGGTTTTATCTTCTTGAAAGTCAAACAGTAATCAGAGTATCTGAACTTTTCTTCCTAAACTTTCCCTTCTCTGTATATTTATACATACTTTGCGATTCATTGAGGTTTTGTGGTTTAAGTTCTGCTCAGAAGACTTCTGTGCTTTGTTGGCAGCAAAGATATTCTGTAATTACAAAGGTTGTGCTGGGCAAATCATCCAGCAAACAGTAATGTTATCATAATAGCATCTGATAATTCTGAATGTATGGACATTTATGCATAAGTGAATGAAGAGAAATTGATGCATGAAGAAAGCATTTTGTTTCACTTTTTCTAGTCTAGTGGATGGCGGCTATGATTGGTCATTTTCACGTCCTACTGCTGCAGAAGTAATGAAGGCTCCAAAACTGAGTGCATGTGTTACTAGATTTTGCAGGATATAGCAATTTATCTCTCTTGTGGATTGGCAATGAAGGCAACTTGTAAGAAACAAACAGTAGGTTCCACTGGAATTACGCTTTGGTGTCAGAACAGTAACCTATTGATAGATTTTCTGGCATGTTGGCTACAGGAGAAAATGGAAACCAATCTGGTGGAAACAAATCTCATAGGAAAAAATATATATAAATCTCATAGAAAAAAATACTGCAAGTGAAGCTCAGTACATTCTGCAACACAACATCAGAAAAAGCAGAAGGCTTGCAAATTAATTCTGACAGTCATTGGCAGAGCATTTTATGGTGATTACCAGCTTATGGCTAATAGTGGCCAGAGAATAACTCATATTTTCTTTGATTTAGTAAACTATTACTTTGAATGATTCAGGCTATCCAGGTAAATTTCTGATATGCTGATATACCGTTTTTTAGAAACTATTGTATAGAAAAGGAGACGTGTAGCATGTTTCCTTCTAGAGCTTTCCATTGTTCTGAAGGTATTGTTTCTGATACACTGATTCAGAAAATCTTTCCTGGATGCCAGTCCTAAATGATTTTAGGTTGTTTGAACACAAGACTAGGGAACAGAGAGCAAAGTGACTGTACATTTGTTTTTAACTAATGTGGCTTACTGAGATATTTTTGATTTAAAAAAAAAAAAAAAAAAAAAAAAAAAAAGCAGAACCTTTCTGGGTTTTGATGTTGTCCTGCTAAATATACTTTATGGTGAGACTATTTCAAGAAGAGTGTAATTATTAATGGCTAGCTAGAGGCTTTTTGTCTATGAGTTTTAGAATTAATCTCAGTTTTGAATTTTCATAGTTCTAAAAAATCAAGTAATTTGAAAAGAACTGGGTTTGAAAAAGACTGTTTTCAGAAAACTAAATAGATTTTGGTGAATATAAAAGAGTTAACTTGAAAACATCACTTTCAGATGTGGATGGGAACACAGACATGGATGGGAAAGTCTGACCATAAATTAATGTGATGTTACAGTACTTAGCCTTATATCAAGAAGATACAAGAATATATTAATTTGTTGTTTAAAAGCCTTTAAAAAACCTGTGAGAACTGGAACAAGTGAAAAAAACTGATGGTTCCCTAACATAAAACTGTTTTTCTGCACTTAGATTTAATGCATTAGTCCTGCTGGATAACCTTTGAAAGGTCTATGTTTCCCTGAGGAATGCAAATGTTCATTTCTGGGGGTCAGTTCATACCTTGCAGAGATGCAGAATATTTTAATGTTGGAATAATATCAAGGTTCACTTAGATGGCTGTCGAAGCCAGGAGAATTCTGCTCAGCTGAGAGTGGGATGGCCACATCTTGTGACTGGTCTAGACACTGCCATAAAATGTTAGTCCTCCAGAATGTATTTGGGATGGTGTGTTTGTCCCTTACTTTGAAAATAAAAGTGTTGGTGGATGCTGGAGAAGTGGAATGGGTGGTATTCCCATTCCCAAAGTGAAGACAGAGCAAGGAACTAGGAGCTTGGGGCAGTCCAGGATTTCTTTAGCAGATAACCAATTGTTGAATTCCTGCTCTCTTGCCTCATTTCTGTCCTTCTTACCTCACAGTCCTCCAGTCCTCTCTTGCCTCATTTCTGTCCTTCTTACCTCACAGTCCTCCAGCTGGAGTTGGAAATGAAAGAGGTTATGTGTGTGTGTCAGGGAATGTTCAGGAGGTCACACCTACATTACAGGGATGTGTGTAGCTCCAGGTGCACAGGATGTACTGAAAAGTCAATGGTGATGGTTCACCTCCAAATCTTCCTCTGTGGAGCAGTGCTGGGCACTTCTGAGGAAGATCACAGTAATAACAGTGTATTTCCACTGAAAGAACTACTGGAATTCAGTTCTTAAACAGAACACCTCCATGCAGTATCTAACTAGAGGTGGATCCAACCCCCAGAACATATCTGAGACACATCCTATTCATTTGGCTCCAGCACTGCTGGGTGACAGACACATGAGGCATTGTGGGCTCTTCTATACACAGCTAATAAAACTAAAACCATGGGATCACAATCCTATTGGGTTATTATCTTGCTTGGCTTCCATGAAACAACATCACAGCAGGATGTGACTGAAGGGAGGAGTTTCCCTAAGGGGTAATTGATATGGTTTAAGTCAGGCTTGCTAAGGCAAAATGTGAGAAACCAGAACAGGAGAATCTGCACACCTCAATCCTAGGAACCCACAGGCTCCCATCATGCTCAAAGTATCCAGAGCTGTTTGAGGAAAAGAGGTCAGGCCCTTCAGCTGGTATTTGGGAGTGTGTTAAGGATGGCTGTTCTGCAACTAGCAACTTTAGAGAGTCACTTTAAAGGTATCTTGATATATCATCCGAAATATCTGTTTATTTCACTGAATAGTAACCAGAAATGCACGAGATAGAAGGACAGGATAAAAACTAAAAGCAAGTTTAATTTATCAAAGTTTTTTCATAAGAAATAGCATGGGAGAGCTATGGAATGAAGTACAAAAATCTAGACGAGGAAAGAAACATTAGTTTCTGGACTTTATGTTTTCTGTTTATTACTTCACTTCCAATTTTGCAATCACTTACTTAATCCTGTTGCAGGGATAAAAAATGCTAATTACATTCAAGCTTTTCTCCTGTTAAAAAGGCTTTTAGGTACCTATGTGACCCCACTACAAACTACTTCTCTGGGAAAAACATTTCCAGATAAAACATTATGTTAAATACTCTCTTCAAAAGATTGTGTCCTGCAAAGCTTGGAGCTGTAGGAAGATGAAGAGTGTTTTCTGCTCTGAGCCCCTCTGTGGTGTGGTAGCAGCGTGGGCCAGGAGAGAAAAGCTGCAATGAGCAGGAGGCCAGGGGAGGCAAGGCATGGGAATGAGGAACATAATGGCCAAGGAGCTGAGTTCCTCAATATTCTTCTTCTTCTTACCTTCAACATACTAACCAAATCAAATGTACAAATCCCTGATAACATAAGACCCCTTGTAACAGTAATGAAAACACAAACCTGAAAACACTAACACAGACCTGTTCAGAAAGGATTTAATTAACATTACTCCTTATATATTGTTACCCTAGGACTTTGGGTAACTATATTTTTAATTATAGAGTCATGCACATGTTATGTATTTATGATAGAAATATATCATATCCATTATATGTAAACTTATTTTAAAAATTATATTCTGGGATTTTTTTATTGGTAAGTTCTGACTCTTTTCAGTTTCACCTTTCAGGTTACAGTGTTTTTCACACTAACACTGTCCAATATCTGCCCCCCTCAAGGAAACAAAGAATACTGTTGGCCTGACTCAAAAAATCTTGACTTTAGGAACCAGTTGGTTCATGTCATATTATTAAAGAAGATAAACGTAATTCTACACCAGACAAAAATGGATCTGGATTAAAAAATTACAAAACATGAAATAATTATTTTAAACATCTCACAAGGTAGTTAGCCTCTGTTCTCCCCACTTTTTCAGTGTGTCTCCTGGTTCTGCACAAGGCTTTAATTTCACATGCCAAAATCAACCCAGAAATATAAAACTATTGTTGAATTATTTTTAGCTAAGTAGGTGTGATGTTAGAAAAGAGAAACAAAGAAACAAACAAAAAAACAATCCCACAAACAATTAAACAAAAAAGGAATAAAGTACTTCCAGCACAATATGAATGGACCCAAAAGGTAAGTTTGTACAGGAACCAAGAGACTTTCCCTGGCAACTGAATAAAGTGAATTTTCCTAAATTCCATTCAACCCAAAACATTACTTGTGACCAAGTAATTTTTTTATAAGGAGCATATCAGTTTTGGACATTATTTGTCTAGGACATTATTTTGATAAAATTGAATTAACTATCGTGTAGTGAATTGGGGATTTCTTCTTTCTCACCCTTCCTGGCACAGATTCAAGAAAAAATTTAATGCAAATACTTTTAGTATATTATTTCTAAGGTAGTAATAGAAAACAGCTCCCCCATCAGGGACGGAAGAATGCTGATGCATTTACCGCACTGCATTGTCATAAAAATCTTCCACAGAAATTGATCTTGACAAAAGCCATCCTTAACTAGATTAATCAGTAGATGTATAAATAAATTAATTAAAGTGATATGCAATAACTAGCAATCAGTGACTCCTTTCAGGATGGAAATTGAATTGAAAGAATATTGAGAACTTTAATTTCTTCAGATTACATGTAAATGCTCTATTCACTCTGCAATACAAACATATTTTTTTCATTATATGAAGAATTTCAAGTTTATATGATTTAAAAAGACAGACATCAACTGTCTTTGAACAAAATCAAACTTTTTTTTTTGATTATGTGTATCAATTGGACACTTGCTCTTTGATATATTCTATGATCAGATTAACATAATATC